TCCTTATCTTGGATCTTAGCCTTAACGTTCTCAATGGTATCTGAGGGCTCTACTTCCAAGGTGATGGTTTTGCCAGTGAGGTCTTCACGAAGATTTGCATACCACCACGCAAGCGAAGGACTAAGTGGAGGGTTGATTCCTTCTGGATGTTGTAGTCGGACAGGGTGCGTCCGTCCTCCAATTGCTTACCGGCGAAGATCAAACGTTGTTGATCTGGTGAATTCCCTCCTTATCTTGGATCTTAGCCTTAACGTTCTCAATGGTATCTGAGGGCTCCACTTCCAAGGTATGGTTTTGCCGGTGAGGTCTTCACGAAATTTGCATACCACCACGCAAGCGAAGGACTAAGTGGAGGGTTGATTCCTTCTGGATGTTGTAGTCGACAAGGTCGTCCGTCTCCAATGTTTGCCGGCGAAGATCAAACGTTGTTGATCTGGTGGATTCCCTCCTTATCTTGGATCTTGGCTTGACATTTTCTATGGTGTCGATGGTTCAACTTCCAAGGTGATGGTTTTACCGGTGAGGGTCTTCACAAAAATTTGCATACCACCACGGAGACGCAATACCAAGTAAGAGTAGACTCTTTCTGGATGTTATAATTGACAGTGCGTCCGTCTTCCAACTGTTTGCCGGCGAAGATCAAACGTTGTTGATCTGGTGGAATTCCCTCCATTACTTTGGAAGTTGAGCCATCGGACACAATTGAGAATGTAAAGGCTAAGATTCAAGATAAGGAGGGCATTCCACCAGATCAACAACGTCTGATCTTCGCCGGTAAGCAACTCGAGGATGGACGAACTTTGTCCGACTACAATATACAGAAGGAATCGACACTCCATTTGGTGCTACGTCTTCGCGGAGGCGCATTCTAAATTTAAATAGAAAACCACCAAATTCAAAATTCAAGAGTATTCATTGTATCTCGTTAATTTAGCTCTATTTTGTAATTTAACGCTTTTAACATCAGTTCTGATTAAAAATTGAAATATACCGTTTTTTTTATGTTTAAAAGAAAATAAATTATATGATGCACTATTTCAAGAAAACTTGTTTCTATTGTATTTTTTTTATAGAAATATAGGAAATGGGATTTGGGAGTAGGTTTACGTGGAAGTGATTTCTATATAAAACATACATTGCGCCTGTGGAGCCAGAAGACCTAAAAGGCCGAATACAGTACTTGTGTTGGCTCTTGTCTGCAAATATATCGAAGCCATTGAGAATATGGTCACATTGAGGGCATTTGTGTTGTATACCACGGATAAAGGGTGTGAAATAGGGTGACATACAGTTTTTAAAACGCTAAAAACCGAAGAAATGTTCGCGAAAATGGTTGCATACAAATTTTTATATATCACGAGCACTTCTAAGAAATAAATATCAGTCATTGAAAATAATTATACACCAAAATTAGTTCAACTGTCATGCGCTGTGAATAGGCCTAATTTCAACAACGCACTGCTCAGCTGTTCACAGCTGTCATTAGTAATCAAGTCGTCTTTCTTGTTGGTTGCCTGTTATAGCGTTCACAGTGTAAAAAACGACATTATCCCAAATTTTTGTACAAATTGTTTTTTATTAATATTTAAATGGCAGCCAAAACCTATACTTTAGAAGTTGTGAAACAACACAATAAACCAGAGGACCTTTGGATAATAATCGAAGGAAAAGTGTATGATGTGACTAAATTTCGAAACGAGGTAAGAGAAAAATTGATTGACTCTATTTTCATTCTAATCTTGTGTAAATAAAAAAATAATGTATTAAATTAGCATCCCGGAGGCGAAGAAGCATTAGACGAAGTAGGTGGCCGTGACGCCACACGTGATTTTCAGGATGTTGGACATAGTCAAGAGGCGAAGTTGGTTTTATACATTTTAAAACTGCAAATATGCAAAATGCTTAAATTTCACTATTTTATTGCAGACAAATGCTTAAAAAGTATTACATAGGTGATCTCGAGGTCGACAAAACGGTTAAATTGCCAGTAAGGTAAGTACATACTTAAATGTATCAAGCTACGTTAATATTTAACAAAGTGCGCTTGCATGATAGCATTTGTAACTAAAAAAGCTAACTAAAGCTTACGTTTTTCCACTCCAATCTAACAAAAAGTGAAAAGAAAAGCGAGCAATAATTCTGGTAATAAATACATTGCTTCAAGTACAAGAACCGAAATTAAAAGCATGTACATATTAAAGTTTCGTCGGCGAGCAAGTGAAGCAGCTACATATATTTGTGCCCAAAATTTTCAGCAGCAAAAAAACCAAACCATTTCATTACACGCTACTATCTGACGCCCTGCATGTAACAAGTCCATTTGTCATAATTAATTAATTAATTAAAATTTGTATTATGCATAATTGTGCGCCAAAGAAACTTTGTACGCGATATAATAGTTCAATATTTGCATACTCATTCAAACAAGTGCAATATGCATATATGTATGTATGCACACAAAACATCAATATTCAAGCCATTGTCTCATAAAAAATATAACAAATGTATTTCATAAAGCTCTAATATTATGCTGCAAATGGTCATTCAGTATTTATTCTAGCACATTACGCTTTCCATAAAGCCGTATATGTTAACAGAAGCCATTTGATGTCAATTTATGCTCATCGCATATATAAAGTGTATAAAAAATTCGGCAGCGCTATATCATCTACAATTACTGAAATCCGTCAGCTCAGTTATTGATAACCACATGCCCCGAAGACGCTGAATATTGTAGGCTCAGCTGATAATGGATTAAGTGACGTCAGCCTAACACTTGCAGCACGAGTACATAAGCACGCCAGCATTGTTATTGTAGATATGATAATGTAATTTCCGATTTCGGCTCAAATTCCGCATAAAATAGCTAACTTTCAGCAAATTTTTGTAGCAAAAACTTGTTTAATTGTTTTGTGTTTAAATGTTGAGCTTTAGGCCTATAGTTGCGGAGAGTACGCTAAATCTGTCAAGTGCTTTTGCGTCACATTGTACATATGTATGTATTTACCATATCGTAGCCAGTCAATATTTTAAACTTGTAATTGTTTTTTGTAGCTTTAAATATTTTTCGACAAAAAAAGTAAAATTTTGCAAATCATAGGCTGATGTGTAAGTTAAATTTCTGCTATTCTATGCTATAATCGTGTGCATACAATACATTTCTTAATTGTCATACATTTACAGCGTTCGCTTTTGTACGTATTGGTGCTTTTTGTTCATACGCATTGTAAGCAGTGTAATTCTTTTAGTTTTTTACTTTTGCTTTGTTTAAATGCTGTTTTCCTTTATCACTTCTCTAAAAAATTCTAACATAGCACTTCACCAACGCCATCATTGCCACCACAATTACCACCAACAACAACACAAACATCGGCTAATATAGTAAAACCAGAAGCCACTAACACTATCATTGCTGATAAAGATGTTGCTCCTCCCGGCAAACAGTGTTGTGTACTCGCTTAAAACCCAATGCAATGTTAAAATGTAGAACAAGCATATTTTCCAAATGCTCAAATAACTGCTACTATGTGATTGTTTATTTATATAAATTTAAAAATATAACTCTTAATTCGTGTTGTGCAAAATGTTACTTTATTATAAAATCAGCCATAACCTTTAACATTGTTTACCATTCAACTCAAAATAGACATATATGCTGTGCAGTTGGCGCTTTCACTACTGGACTACTCTTCGTTATAATCATCAGGAAACTTTTAGCCAGCAAATGAAATGCTTAAGTTATCGTTACATTTGTGCGATATGGCTGCGAGCCACGGCCGAAATATAATCAAAAAGTAAACGGAACTGCTATACAAGATGCCTCAGTGTACTCAACATTTCCAAAATTTAAGTTAATACAAATAAACTGTAGTAAAATTGTAAATTCAACTGTATAATTGCGTTATGACGTGTTATAAGCAGTACTGTTATATTATGTGCGCATATGTACATATGTGTTATAAAAAGTGTACGAAATATGAACATAAACAACGTAAAATAAATGTTTTTAAAGCAAAATATGAATTTCCCTGCGATAAACTGTTTGCACCAAAAACCAAACAGGAAAGACAAGTGTCAAACAAAAATCAAATATTGTGCCGCTAGCCAGTAGTAAATATGAAGGCTGGAAAATGTTATTAAATTAATAGTTTAATCAAAAATATTTGTAGGAAATACAAAATTATAGCAGAGAATGTAGATTATAGAGAAAGTTCACAGTGCACATATTTTACATTCTCTGTTCTGAGTATTCGAATGCTGCCAATATTGCATAAATACACAACAGCAGTATTTTAAGGTATTTTGCCTAACTTGCAAGAAAACGTCTGCATATTAGCTTATTTGATTAATATTTATTAAAAAGTAGCATTGTATATGATTTGCAGAAGCAAGCCAACACCATTAATATTCAAATTATTAAACGTAATAGTATGCTTTACACTTATAAAATAAAACTATACGCAATTAGGCTGCGTCCATGAACGTCTCATTCAACACTTTGAGATCACGTGCATTTACAGCGCCATGTAAATCACTACGGCCCATTAAGGAAATTACCATTTTCAATGTACTCCAAATGGAGTCGGACATTTGCGCTTGACCACCGCCAATAGCGCCTGCGTCGTCAGGTAAATCACGTGCAGCCATCGTATTTGCTTGCATATTTAAAGCCGTTAGCAGATGTTCAACGGCTTGTTTGTATGCCTTCAAGTTCATGCAACACACGCCAACATTATAACGTACACGTATGAAGCCCGGTTCTAGCTGCAATGCATGCTGATAGGCCTCAACTGCTTCTACAGAACGCGAGCCATTGGCTAAACTAGCGCCCAGACGATTCCATACTTTTGCATTTTGGGGATTAACATGTAGTGCGGCACGAAAACAGTCGACTGCTTTGTCGTACTCGGAGGATAGATTGTAGAGCACACCTAAGGCTTCTTGCACGTCGGCGTCGACTTCTTGTGGATTCAAACGTACAGCATCGAGAAAGAGATTTTGTACGGCTTGCAGTTTGCTACCAACGATTAATGAAGAAGCCATGGCACCACCATCAGCTTGTAATTCTGGATGCTGTTGCAATAGATGTTTGTATTTTGGATTTACTTCCATCCAGTTGACTAGCATGCGTAACGCATGACTCTGTAGACTTTCGTTGGTGTAGCAAACAGCAAGCGCCATCAGCACACGGTTGTTATCTGGGCGTAGCGCCAGAGAACGCTTTAGCGCCGCTATACTTTGTGGGTCATTTTCATTCTCCGCCTGTGCCATGCCTAACAATTCCCATGCTTCGGCGTTTTCTGGCTCCTTTTTGATAGCCACTTCGAAACAAAGAACTGCACTAGGTATATCGCCATTTTGCATATATTCTTTACCTTTCGTCAATGCATTTTCCACTTCAGCCAATGGGTTTTCTTCTGCATAGGCATACTCTTTATATGGATCGTAATTTTCACCATATTCAGATAACCATGGATGTTCTGATTCTTCGGATAACTTTTGCCATTCATCCTGCAGACGCTGCCAGAAAGTCTCATTATAACTGCTAGTAGATTCTTGACGTTGTTTTGCACTGGCCGCATAATCGTTGATCCAATCTTCAACATACTCCTTAGTGGACGTTTGCGGTAATAATTTCTCTGTCTCCTCTTTAGTAAGTGACTTGGCTTCTTCAAAAAACCTCTCCGTACTGGGTACATATGGTGGACATATGGCTAGGTATGGTGCTGGCAATGTTTGTAGTGGGACAAATGGCGCTGCAGGCGTATGACCTAAAAACGAACCAGATACACCAGGTCCATCTTCATCGAAAAATTCTCGCACATGCACTAATTGTTGCTTTTGTGGCTGCATGTGTACCATTTGTGCGGCTGTTGTCATTAACGGCTGCATGTCAAATTCATTTCCCCACTGTTTGGTAACACTGCTTGTATTATCCATACCACGGGTTGCTTGATTGACTGCCATCACGCTTGCTTGTTCTATTTGACGCATCTCTTGTAGTAGTGCATCCATTTGGAAAGATTGTGGTGGCGCCGTCACTTGTCCTAGAAACTCATTTACTAGATGTTCATCTGGTCTCAAGTTACGCTCAAACTGAGAATTCACGAAGCCTTCATCTTTGCGTGAGGCATCTCTTGTAAATTGTCCTCCAAGTTGCATGAGTGGATTAACGCCACCACAATCCCCATCAACAAGCTGACGTAAAGACATTTCGACGTATTTAAAATGGAATGCTTAGAAATAAATGAGAAGACACCGCGGAAAGTCTTTTAAAACAATATCGATCAACTATATAAAACGTTGCAGGACTATGTGGGTGAGTGATAAGCAAAGTCTAATGTTCACCACAATTTTATAAATAAATTATGAGAGTTGTCAACAACAAACAGCTGTGTTCGAAGTAACAAATCAGGGTTGCCAAGCCACGCGTGGTTATCGATAACATATTATTCTTTTTTCATGTTGCGCGCGAATATTTACATAATAGCAGTTAATCAAAAATTAATAATCAAAAAATAATAATTTAAATATAATACATTAAAAATAATATTTTAAAAACAGTAATAAAAAAAAAAATATTTAAAACTAACAAATTAAAAATAATAATTACCAAATAAAAATAGTTTTAAAAAATTAATTGAAAAAAATGAAATAAGAAACTTTATTAAAATTTATTAAAAATTGATAAACATAATCAAAAATGAAAAGTTAATTAAGTAAAGATAAATAAAAAAAAAAACTAATTCATAACATATATATACTTTCATTCATTAACTTGCAGGCATTTATTTTATTAACATTTTAACAGTTACCAGCAATTTGGGACCTAATAATACGTATTTTTGAATAAATTATATCCCAGTCAACATATGCACCGATCAAAAGCCTTTTGTTAGCGGGCGAATCTTCATACGCAGTGCGTCCATGCAGCATACGCAAGTTGTTAAAGACAAAAACGTCACCGGGCGTAGTTTTGAAATCGACAGCTTCGGCATATGCCAATTCAATGAATTTATCATAAGCTTCGTACCATGGTGCTACCTGCTCCAGAGGCACGGTGAAATGACTATCTCGTTTATTGCTATTCTCATTTATACGATGGTAACGCCCATCAACGTCCAGACTAGAAGAAGCAGGTTAATAAAATATGTTGAAATATAAAATATAATTTTTTTTTACCAAATCGTTGGTGCGCGCCATATATTATGGAATGACATACCGCCATCCTTCCCAATGTCATACCAGTCAACTGGCGTCTTTACTAATATTCCAAATAATTTTGGGAATTCTTTGCGTAGTTTTTCGGCGATATAAAATCCGTCTGTCATCAGATTACTACCTCCCGGTGATTGCGATTGCACATAACAGTGCAATATATTTATGCCTGCCTTATATTCATAATATGGCATATCCGTGTGTAGCGGCAGTGGCGTCATCATATAGGCGTAGTTATGTGCATTGTCTTTGGACTTTACTTCAAATTCTTCACTGTTGATAAAAATATAAAAAAAAATTAAACAAGGGCTCAGTTCTTTTGTTCATATTTTATAAGTTCAATGACCCATTTGTTTACATTTAGCTAAGTCCACAACATTATGCGGTCAATGACCCTTTTGTTTACATTTTATGATGTCAATGACCCATTTGTTTACATTTAGCCAAGTTCACAACCTTTGTTTATATTTAACCAAGTTCACAACCTTTGTTTACATTTGCGGTCATTGAACCTTTTGTTTACATTTTATGGGGTTAATGAACTCTTTGTTTACATTATGCGGTAAATGAACCTTTTGTTTACATTTTGCCGAGGTCAATGACCCTTTTGTTTACATTTTATGATGTCAATGACCCATTTGTTTACTTTTAGCCAAGTTCACAACCTTTGTTTTACATTTAGCCAAGTTCACAACCTTTGTTTACATTTAGCCAAGTCAACAACCTTTGTTTACATTTGCGGTCATTGAACCTTTTGTTTACATTTTATGGGGTTAATGAACTCTTTGTTTACATTATGCGGTCAATGAACCTTTTGTTTACATTTTGCCGAGGTCAATGACCCTTTTGTTTACATTTTATGATGTCAATGACCCATTTGTTTACATTTAGCCAAGTCAACAACCTTTGTTTACATTTAGCCAAGTCAACAACCTTTGTTTACATTTGCGGTCATTGACCCCTTTGTTTGACATTTTATAGGGGCAATGATGCCTTTCTAAATTGTTCAGATCGAACCGGTGGCAGCGATAAATTGGCGGTTCCGGCAAATGAGGAGTTTCTTAAGGAGAAAGGGACTAATTTGTGTATATACAGGCAGACAGTTAACCGGATTTCAAATCGTCTCGTCATTCTATTCATTTATATATATGTATATATAGCTCGATATCTATCTCGATTAGTTTAAATTATACATACATACAATCGTTTGGTGAATAAAACTAGTATACTCTGTAGCAACATGTTGCAAGAGTTTAAAAATGTTGGAAACCTTTAAAACTACTTTATCATAGTATAGTTACTTACCCATAAGTAGTGCGTTTTATGTAGCCAATACGATCAGCCAATTGCCTAGCCACAGTATTGTCATGTGGTGAATTTTTTATTATAGAAAACCCTCGTATTGCCAGCGATTCCAGCCAATCCAAAAGTACTGCAAATTGTTTAATTTTTTTTAATTGTACAAACACCAAACCCTCGCTTCTAATCGTAATTTTACTAACCTTTGTCCTGCGCCATTACATCCTTAAATTCGAAAGTACGCAATACGTTTGAGAATTCAGATTTTGACCACAACTGATATGTCGGCTTATAAACCGATTCAATGTAGCGCTTGCGATTAGTTGGCGCAAAGTCTCTATCTTTTAGCCAAGCTAAAGTAAAAGTGGACTTATGATTGTCCTGCCAATCTATTGTTAACGCATTCTCTTCATAGCCGCCATTTATGCTTCGAATACGTGAGTCCACACTAGCACGCTTCCAATTGATTTGTCGGCTCTTCGTATTATCATGAAAACAGGCACTGCATTGACAGTTATCGCGTAGCCAAATGCTGGGAAACTGTAGCGGTTCGCCACCATTCGGCTGCTGCACGACAACTACATTTCCCTCTGTTAAAGAAGCGCTAAGTAGGCGCTTATATGTCGGATAATAGCGCGAGATCGGCAATTTGTGAAAAAAATAATTGTTTAATTGCCTAGCGAACATCTTAATCAGTTGCTTGCTTATTCGCGAATGAATGAGAGGACAACTTGTTGGGCACGTTGTGCCCTTATCGAATTCTGACTGGCCCTGGCAGTGCCATTGTGATAAGTCAGCATTTGTTGATTACACGATGAAAACAGATCAGGCGCGTGGGCTGACGTGGAGTTCTAAAAAGCAAAAAAAAAAGTCGTCTGAATATCTTCTGATGTAATTATCTTGAAGTTTTATGGCATACAAGTTGCATATTTTACACTTAATTCAACTCAACTATATGTAAATGCACAATGTGGAATGTTAAATTTTTTTGTATAGTAAAATTATTTCTCTTTTGTAGTGGTTTCTTTTGTTTCCTTATCTATAACTGGTGACCGCTTTTGTTTGTTTTCGGGTTTTTTGTTCCCTAGAGTAATAGATTCCACCACAGATTCCTCATTGTCCAGCCAAAAATTGTAGTTTGGATTGACTATGAACTGACGTCTAAAACCGCATTGACGGCACGTCAATAGCATGCTTGTGTTTTCATCCACATTATCACTATTTTTTAAAGACTGTCGCCTCTTCCGTCGCGTTACAGCATGCAAGTCAGCGGTTATGCCTGGTTTTAGTGCCAGTGAACAACGTTTACACATTTGCCGCTTTATGTTTGGATCACTGCAAATGTATTGACTTGTAAATATAATTTTTGTGTTCTAATGCTATTTACTTACATTTTAAGCACAGCTTTCTTTGCAATACTCCGACATAGTTCGCCGTAGTAGGCAGATAACGTGTTGTTCTTGCCAGCCATAAGCATTGATGCTTGGAAGAGAAAATTCATACGACTGAAACATTCCTTTCCTTGAAATGCGGGCTGTTGCTTTTTGTTTGACATAATGATTTATTTATATGTAAAAATTCGGTTAAAAAATTCGTAGCGAAGCTTGTTATCAATTACAAAGTAGATTCTGTTATTTCAGCGATTTTTTTATCTATTCTTCTTCTTGAAATAATTAATCAGCGTGAGTAATTACACGAAAGTTCAAAAAATATTCGTTTACATACATTGATATACTATTGTGAATGAAGGAACACTCCAATGTTAATTTGTTTATGAGAGCTCTTATCGAATGTAAACAAAACATGTATCGCTGAATTGAATATTTGTTATTAGCTGTTTAAATAAATTACATTTTATTTTTCACTTAATTATGTTTCCTTATTGTGAATTCTACGCTGCTTTGCTGCTGTGTTAACACTACCATCTAAATTGGTATGCAATATTCGAAAATGTTTCATCAATGTGCGTATTGAGTAAAATTGTTCCATGCAAATGCTGCACTTGTATGGTCTAAACGGAGCATGGCGTAATTGTTCAACCCACAAATGTAGATAGCTTTTGCAGCCATCTAACACTCGATCACAAATAACACAATAGGGTTGTAGGCGTCTTTTCTTGCAGGCCCTGGTTGCGTTGGCTGCCGCACCGAAATTGGTTATAATCAATGCCATATAAGGCGCTTTGAAGAAATCATGATTCTCATTAATGTGTGAACACCAATTATCAGGATGTTCAAACTTAACGCCACAAATGGGACAACTGAATTCTATGTGCTGCAGGTATTTTGCCGTTTTATCGGGCAGGAACTTAATATTCATGTCAAATTTTGCGTTTCTGGGACGCAAATTACCGGGCAATATGGCTTCGTCGTAAGTCGTTGCATTTTTGCAGTGCATTAATAACATATGCATCTTAATCTCATTGTTGTAATTGAAGTGCAAATTGCATATTGCACAACGAAAAGATCTATTTCGTAGGTGCGTTAGATAATGTTTGCGCTGGCATTGTTCCAAGTTGTCGGCTGTTAACATGATGCCACATGTTTCGCATGTGGTAATTAAATGCGTGCTCTTTTCGACTAACTCGTCCATTTCTATAGCTTTAAATTTGAGTTTTTCTTCCGCAAAGAGCGCATGCTTGTCGTTAATATGTTGCAACCAAGTTTCATGTTTTCTAAAATTTATCTGGCATTGCGGACACATATAAACCAGAAATTTTTCATAATCAATGCCTTCACTTAGTGAAAAACGTTTGCTTCTTACAAGTTTGCCATTAATTTTTGCTTTCAGCATATGTACTTCCATGTGTCTTTTTATATGTTTGATCATTTCCGTGCACGTACACTCCAAATGATCACACAAGCTGCATTTGTAGTATGCATTAAAAGACATATGAGAAAGGCTGTGATGTAGAATTTTACGATATTCAATATAATTAAACTCGGTCGGACACTTTCGGCAACGATAAGTTTTCTCGTCTAAAAATATAATAATAAAATGATAAAGAAATGTGTAAAAGAAACTTTATATAAAAAATTGTACCACCTTCGTTAACAGTGCCGGGTAACATTTTTAAATTGTTAAAATAGTGCACATTATGCAAGTGTTGTTGCCAATGTGCAGATGAATGAAATGTTTCTCCACAACGTGGACATAGTAGATGCATGAAGATAGCAGGATTTACATTTTCAATTGCTTTCGCCATGGCGATTTCCAATATGGTCAAGTCATCTTCAACTCCATCAATTTCGTCCAGCGAATCATCTTCATCCAAGCGATTGATATCTTCTATGGTAACTTCAAAAGAGTCTGTGGGCATGTGTGCCAAAGAAAATGGATCTTCATTGTCTATTGGGTCTGTTTTTTTGTTTTGCGCAATAGCAAATGGATCCTCATTTTCAACTACATCCATTTTTTTAAAACAATTCAAATATTCCACGCTTTTTGATGCCAAACGAAGTATTTGTGTATGTTATGTATTTGTTTTTAAAAGAATAAACACATTTTGCATTATTATCAGATGTTTTGCATTTGTTTACAACGGTGAACGTCAAATGAAAAGTTTATTGCAACAATACCATTCACAATTACAATTCTTTTCAAAAACACATGAACGAACATTCATTCGTGCGTAGTTTTCGCTTGCGAACAAACTGAAAAGTTGACAACTCTTCGTCGACAATTATGACATTTCCTATACAACTCTGTAATAGCTTATCTTTGCACACTTGACGTATACGGATTTGGAAAAATTGTGCAAAATTAAAAATTTTACAAATTTAACAAAAAAATATTGTAAAACATCTTAAAAATCTCTAAACGACGTTTGTGTTGCGATTAAAGCAAGTTTTTTATGTGAATAACATGTCATATTTCAATATAACGCGCCCGCCCGTGCGCGAGTATGCTGGTGGTAGCGTTGGTGGCATACTACGCAAAGGTGGCAGCAGCAATAACTCTTCGAACAATGGCACCTACAACAGTTATGCATCAACCTCAAGCAGCGGTGGCCTCAATGCTGGCGAGGCACGTCAAGTAGACTTGCTGGTATTTGGATATGCCTGTAAATTGTTTCGTGACGATGATAAGGCGCGCGAAATCGATCAGGGCAAGCATATGATACCATGGATGGGTGACACAACACTTAAGATCGACAGGTTAATAATTGTTGCTACTTAAAATAGGTTATTGTAACTTTTTTGTAACTATTTACAACATATATTTATATTTTTTTTGGACTATAAACTGTAATATCTACGATTATGATTTTTCGTGCATTAGTACCGTATGTATTACATAGTAATATAACCTACAAGAGAACTACATCACATATACGCGCGTCCTTAAGCACAACAGCCAGAAGACGGCGCGAATTGTATAATGTTATTGCTTTTAATTACAAAAAAAAAAAAAAACTTAACAAACCCTTTTTTATTTTAGCATGTCGTCAAGCGTTTTGTGAGTTTATTATACAAGTTAAACTATGTACATTTGTAATTTTTTGTGTTTGTATATTTGTTGATTTTAGTAGCTAATGATTTTTTGCCTGTGCGCTCCTACGCTGTTTACTGCTAAAAAGTGTTTCGAAAATTTAGCTTTAAAACCCCCATAAAAATTAAGGATTTGTTATAGAAATCGTAATTGTGCGCGTTTTTCTGGTAATTTTTTTTATTGAAAATCACTTACGAACTGAAGTGGCAGAAATATTGTTCGAAATTAACGCAATTTTCTCATTATTAACAGTATATCTAAAATTACTAGTGATTTACAAAAAATCACTAATAAATCTTTGCGCAAAATCTATAATGGTGCATATCTATTAGTTGTTTGATAATTTAAAAACTTGTATTTCTAAAACTTAAGTATTTAGTTGAGTACTTTCATTCTGTGCATTTAAATTGGATTTATTATTCATATGTGTAAATCGAGTAATGTTAGCGAATACCGCAGACTCTATATATATATTTTCTAAATTAAACAAACATACATGTCTACTAAAATAGTTGCTACCCGACAGCAACGGAAAGCGCCAGAATTCATTTAACAGCAATAAATATTGCAATTGATTTGTGTTGCTAATTAAACACGCCAACTTGGCATGTACCATGTATGCCCACTTGGGAGGCGTTATATCATCATAATTTCGCATCATCATGTAGCATTGTAAACAAATTTATTTTCTAATAATCACTTAATCGCAAATATCATTTTTTAGCAACAGGAACGGTATGTATACAACATTTGTACCAATTTAAAAATTATTAAAAAAAATCATATAATTGTAAAAAATCTGCATTAACATAGCAAAAAAAAATATTATAGTTATATTGCTTATTGCAAATTGTAAACATATAACTATAAGATTTTCTTCTGTTTATTTTTTTGCATATTTTAAAAGAAAATTTTATATATATTTTTTTCCTAACCTGCAAACAACCTTTTAGTTTAAAACTTTTGTTTTGGCTTTTGTTTTTAATTTACATTTATCTTTCTTTTTCATTCGCCGAACGCTACTTCCTTGCGCGCACAAAAAAACATACAACCACATATACCAACTGGCCAAATGAAAAAAACATATATGTATATATAATATATATGTGCCACGCCCAATTCGCAATAATCACTGCCGATGTGCAATCTCTCATGTTGGGGGACATGACGCACAGATATGACGTACGTGGTGCTTTGTCCGAATTGGCGCAACATGAACCGCCGCCGGGCGGCTACGGCAATCGTCTCGATTACCTAAGCGCCGATGAGCAACGCGCCGAGCAATTGTGCGAGGAAGAGCGTTATTTATACTTGTACAACAACGAAGAGGATCATATACTGCAACAAGGTAAGCAACAGTGCTGTTACTAGGCATGACGGACCGGTCGAAAGGCTCGTCAAGCTGCTAAGCTACTAAGCAAAGCGTTATATATATATTTACCACAACAACAATTTTATATTTAAACATTTTTATTGTAAATACATATGTGTAAAGATTTAATAACGGTCATTACGTTACTATATGCATATATTATATAACAAGAACAATGCAATAATTCATGCTGATCGACCGATAAGCAATTGTACATTGATATGACTAATTAGTTGTTAGCTAATTAAGCTTAAGAAATAGTGTAAATGCGAAAAAACGAAATGAAAAAACGAAAAGTGCAAATATTTAACACGTAAGTAGTTTGTAAAGAAAAAACGTGTACGCCGTTTGCTGCAAATATGGAAGCCGTATGCCTTGCCAGTCCGCAGTCAGTGTCGCCAGCCATGGTTGGTAGCGTGCAAAAAAACGCATGCGCATGATGCAGGTAAATATATGCATTTTTTCACAACACACTAATGTTCCATTGCAGATGTAAGCCACAGCAGCAGCAGCGTCGCATGCCGTTAGGCGCATTGCCGCCAACAATACATCACTCATACTAAGCTCACTCTAAAATGTAAAGGCTGTTACAATTTGTTTGAAATTGTTTTATTTTTTAATTTATAACAAAACAAAGTACGGAAAATATGCTTGTGTAACGTGTTTTGTTTTATTTTGAGAATGCAATTGCAAAACGAAAAGCATCCTTTCTACAAACCACAAAAAAAGAAAGAAAAAAAATCAAACAAAACCCCCTAACAAATACATAACAAAAAAAAAAAAAGAAAAAGAAAAGAAAATAAAGAAAAATTCAAGTAAATCATTTATGCCACAGCGCATAATTTTGTGCACTCAAATTGCGATTTTGCAAATTTGCGTAGGCGTAGCTGCCTTCTAGTCACTGCCAATGAAGACTCATTTTGGTTTCTCTTTCTCTGCCATTTTTGTTTTTATTTGGTTGACCATCGACGAAAACGTTACTTGCGCACAACCACAACACCACGTACGCACCCCTCCCAAACAAAAAAATTATCCGCATGAAAACTTGTAGAGGAGGATTTGAAACGCCTCAAACAGGATGTCGAGGGCGGTAGCTATGCGCAAGTGGACTTTCAATATGGCAATGATGGCGGCGCCGGTGTTGTGCCACACGGACCCAATCGCGAGGAGCACAGCAATTCGCCGTGCGGCGAAGAGTCGGAACAGGCTTTTAGTCTGCCCAAGAATTTCGAAGTGCCGGCTAGCATACAATTGGTGAGTTTGCTGTAGCGCTTAAGCGTTCATTACTCAAACCAAATAATTAACATTAACTTTTCCATAGCCCGAAACAATGAAGCAGCATGCGATCATTGAGAAGACCGCACGATTTATAGCCTCGCAAGGCATGCAAATGGAGATACTCTTGAAGGCCAAACAGTCGAACAACATACAATTCGACTTTCTTGCCATAAACGGCGTGCTCAATCCATACTACAAATATATATTGAACGCCATAAAGAACGGCACCTATCCCGCAGAGACTGCAGCAGCAAAAGAGCCGCTAGAGCCGCCGACAACTAGCGCAAGCGTTGCCGCTAGCATGCCTGCCAAACCGGTCATTGCAGTGCCCACCATCAAGTATAAGCCGTCGGCTAATTGTGCATACACGCAATTGATAAGCAAAATTAAAGGCGTGCCGCTGCCCGCTGTACTCGACGGCGAGTTGGCCAATATGCCCACCTCGAATTCACCCACGCCCACCACACCCACTGCCGGAAATTTCACGCCCGTGCTATTGCAATACAATGGCAGCACGTACGTTTCGGCAGAGCCTGATGAGGGCACCAATTCGAATTCGAATTCGAATTCGCAAACGAATGGCGGCAATGTGAAAACAGAGGTGGAGATATTAAAGAATACCAGCGCTTTAGCGTTGGCGCAAGACTACGCCTCCGATACGGAATCGGAAGCGGAGGAGGAGCAGTCGAAATCGACGCCCGAGCCAAAACCCGAACCAGTGCTCACTATACCAGTACCAACAGAAACTCTAAAAAATATCATTGATAAAACCGCTACGTATGTGGTGAAGAATGGCCGCCAGTTTGAGGAGACGCTGCGCGCTAAAAGCGTCGATCGTTTCACATTCCTGCTTTACGATAACGAGTATTATCCCTATTACTTGTACAAAGTGACCGGCGATCAAGATGCAGCATCGAAGGAGCAGAAGCAGCGCAAAGCCGCAGCGGTGGCGGCAGCGCTAATGAGCAAAAAGGGACTGCAGACGGCCGAAAAAGCGTTATGTAAGCTTTCACATTCATTGCTCTCACTATATATTTCACTAACAACAACCATATCATCCGTTTAGCGCCCGTTTGCTTTTCGATCAAACCCAAGGAAGAGTCCGCAGCAGCTATACTACAACCTGCCTTGCCGCGCGAACCCAGCGATGATGATGAGGAGTGCGCTGCCAAGCCGGCCAACTCAGTGCAGGCGCGTACGGTGCCTGAGCATGTGCAGAAAGCCATACAGTTGGTCGAGAGCCAGCTGATGGCCAGAAATGCGCAAATCGCCGCCAGCGTCGGCAGCCGTAGCGCACAAAACACCGTGCTAGCGAGTCCAGCGCTGCTAAGCATGCGCGCGCCGTCCAGCCAGCATCAGCCCAGCGGCAGCCGCTATGATGCCGATTATAATAGTGGCATTACCAGCAGCAATT